AAAAAAAAGATAGGTCCAGGGCTGGGAAGGTAGCTCAGTGGTAGAGCGCTTTCCTTGCATGCATGAGGCCCTTGATTCCATTCCTCAGCACCACATAAGCAAAAAGAAAAAAGCCGGAAGTGGCTCAAGTGGTAGAGTGCTAGCCTTGAGCTAAAGAGCTGAGGGACAGCACCCAGGCCCAGAGTTCAGGCCCCACGACCGGACCCAAAAAAAATAAATAAATAAAAATAAATAAGATAGGTCCAATTCAAATGGTAGAATACCTAACTTGTGAGCTTTTTGCATTTCTCTTGGTAGATAGCTTTTCTTTCATCCTTTACTAAAACGGAAGCCATTGGACATAAACTCTGTCCTAACAGTTTTCTTTCTCTTTGATTTTGCATCCCATCTTCCACCTACATAAATCATTCACCTCCTTCCTTCTCTTCCCAGACCAGATGAGTTCAAGCCTGAGCCACTGTGGTGTTTGGACTCCTCCTTCTGTCCATTGGTGCCCCATTGTCTCTTCTTGTGTCACTGCTCCATAATGGGAGCCATCCACTTCTCCAAGAAACACATTCTAGTCTTTCCAGCCCCATCCAGATCCCTTCAGGAAAAAGCAAATCCCTGTATCTTACACAATTTTCAGACAGACCTCCCTTCTCTCCCCCTCCTTCTCTCCTCATCTAGGTTTCCCAAAGCATTTCTTTTATCCATTATCCCTTTAATTTGTTTTCTGTCCCTTCCATTCTGCTGATTTGGGGACTTTCTGATTGTCTAGTTCTATCAGCTCCCCTATCATTGTCTAGCTTAACCTGTTTACTCTGGATTTGTGTTGTGCAATGCATTATGATGGGGAGAGGCCCAATGGAGAGGGTTAATGAAGATGAAGACACTTTATAAGCATGTATGAAAACAGAACCATGAAACCTATTATATCTATGTCTATAGCTATATGTAGATATAGATATATAGATAAATATCTACACACACAGTGAAATCTGTTATTGATGTATATATATTTATTTATTTATTTTAAATACATTTTAATTTGTTTTTTGCAGTCCTGGGATTTGAACTCAGGGCCTCATGCTTACTAGGCAGGTGCTCCACCACTTAAGCAAGGCCTCCAGCCCTGAAATAGTTTTAAGGAAGGAAAGTGGGGGAGGAGAGTGATGAAGGGTAGCTTTGGTATGGTTTGATATGAGTGCATTAGATGCATGTATGGAAATGAAGACACCCTTATTCAACTAATAAAAGAAAATCTTTTTTTAAAAAAAGAATAACATATGAGGTCCAGCAGGCAGGAGCCTCAGCTTGTGAGTATATAAGCAAGTTCTTTCAAGGCTATACCGCATTCTACTCAAACAGGACAGTGTGAAAGGCTGACCTCTCTCTGCTTCATAAACATGAAAGACATTGTCACACTGTGGGAATAATTGCATTGTAATTATTCTTAATTTGTTTGAATGTTGTTTTAGTCCTCTAATCATTCCCAGAGGGCTGCCAGAATTCAGTATGTGAAAGGGTGCACTGAATCCGCAAAGTCTGGAGCTGCTGGTGTCAGCCCTTTTCCAGCCCGTGTTTTATTTCAGATTATAATTTTGCCCTTAGGAAATAGCGTTTAAATATTATATACATATGTATGTGCATATACATATATATGTATATGATTTTTCTAGAAGCTGAATTTAAAAGGTTAAGAGATAGTGAAATTAATTTTTGGAATATACTTTAAGAATATACTAAAACTATCTTAAACTATAATCAAGGTAAGAATCAGTCATTCTCTATTCTTTGTAAGGCTAGCTTTATAGCCAAACTCATAGGCACACATTTATAGTCCGATACTTGAGAGGTTAAGGCAAGAGGATTGTGAGTTCAGGGCCATCCATGATGATCTCAGGAAGCAATTCTAAAATAGACTAAGATCTAAAGTTAGCTCTTTTTCCCAAAACAGGAGCAGGGTTTTTTGTTGTTGTTGTTGGTTGGTTGGTTGGTTGGTTTTGAGGTTGTATTGTATTTATTTTTTGTTTTTGTTTTTTGGTGCTGATCTTAGTGCTTGAACTCTGGGCCTAGGCACTATCTCTGAGGTCTTTTTGCTCAGGACTAGCTACAGCTCCACTTCCCCCTTTTTTGGTGATTAATTGGAGATAAGGATCTCACAGACTTTCCTGTCGTGGCTGATTTCAAATTGTGAACCTCCTCTCTTAGCCTCTTGAGTAGCTAGGATTACAGAAGTGAGCCACAGTGCCTGACACATTTTGGAATCCAAGCAAAGTTATAGTTCCTCCAAGAACACTTTGAACATGGAATGGCTTCCAATTTGCATTTTGTGGCTAATTGGAGCCGAGTTTTTCTACTCCCACACCACTCTACAAAATCTGCTTAGGGAAGCGTCCTTTCTCACCTGCCCTCACACCTCACCACCCCTATTGGCTCTCACTGCGGCTCATCATGAGCTATAACACGTCACTGCTAAAACTTTCTTAGTTGCTTGAGTTCTGGACTCTTGACTGGAGCTGGTCAGCTTTGCACCTGCCCCTGCTTTGCCAGTTTACACCTTGGGGAGCAAAGAGAAAACACTACTAAGACATTCACCACCCCGTGGGGGCCTTTGTGGGGTGAGAATGTGTGTTAGGACAACATCCCACTCAAGTGAGCCTAAGCTTTCTCTTCAGCAGCCTGACTGCTGATACTGAGACTGCAGCCAAGACTGACCTTCCCATGGCCTCGCCCCCACAGAATTTGCCATGAGGTAGGCCTGCCTAGAGATGTGGACAGATCTTCAGCATCTGTACGTCACCTCCAGCACTGGGCCTCAGAACTGAACCGCCTCCTTAGTCAGCGAGCCACACATAGGATTCGCAGACCTCTCCTTGGGTTTCCTGCCTTCACCCACTGCCTTGGCAGACATTCTCCCTGCTCCTCTGGAGCTCAGGCCTTCATCCTTCACCCTCGCTCAGGATTATCCACGTGTTTGTTCTTGCAGGCTTCCTACTTACATTTCCTGCCCAGTGCAAGCTCTCCTCCTTGTTCTCCTGAGTTACCTCAAATCCCTATTTCCTTCTGTGTCCCTGCTTCTCACCCCACAAGCCCAGCCTTTCACCCTCTCCGCTCTTAACCTCATTGGGTCTCTTGTTGGCTCTTACTCATTGTCTTCCTGACTCTCCCATCAGGGTTAATTCTCTCTCTATATATAGAATTTATTGGACTAAAAAGTCCAACATACTCTCCACTCTTGCCCACTGCAGCAGGGCTTTTGCGAGTCACATTTCCAATGGAAACTAAATCTGGAAGGATTTAGATCTGCTGAAGAATGCTAAACTTCCAGTGTTTGGCTGTGCTGGGAATTTTTGGCAGTTCTCCCACGTCTGATATTGCAAACGCTGTTTACAGATGCTTGGAAAGAAGCCTTTAATACTTGTATTGTGTTTTAACTTGCTTTCCTTTGGAGGCAGGGAATTGTCAAGTAAGTATCTGCACCACTCCGGAAGAGCACAGGTGTTGGGTGAACACCCAGACTAAGGGTTCACGCAGAATCCACAAACTTGAAGGGTCAAAACATACAACCCGCTGAATTTACCACAATGCAGGCTCCTTCCCTTTGCTTCCCTCATCTTCAATTTTGAAGCACTCAAGCTATAAACATATGCTTGTGATATATATATGTATATATAAAAAGAAGCATCCTGAGATGGCTTTACTTTGTAGCTTCTTTTTAAACTGAAAAATCAAGGTGAAAAAAGCATTAGATTGCTTGTGTGTATATATACAATCTTATATATGTGTGTGTATATATATATATATAAACACAATGTTTGTGCTTATATGCAACTTGATCTACACTGTATAATATGTTGTATATTATACAACCTGTGTGGACCCTGGAACGGAGCCAGCCCTGTGTTCAGTCTCAAGCCGTGCCTTCTGAGCCATGCCATAGTGCCAGCAGAATCTCGCTCTCATTGCAGCCCCTGGCTTGCTTTTATCATACACTCCAACATCTTAGGTAAAAGAAGAAACCCACGGATTTCATTGGAAAGTCCCACTAAAACAGAAGAAAGAGCAGATGTCCCGGGAAGCGATAATTAATGTGCAGGAAATGTCTTAATTGTGAGAACTGGCATGTCCCAGCCTGGAGATTGCGCTCAGTTGGGTGGTGATGATGTCAGCCGGGGGTGTCGGTGTACAGAGCTGGGCTCTGTGCTCCCTCCTCATCCTTCGCCAGGGATGACAATACCATTTGGTCCAATTATCACTTATGATTACATAACATGTTTTGATTGAAGACTTTCTGAAAAAAATAAAGGTGCTTTGTTTCCCTCCCCTGGACCCCAAACTTCACAGCCATTCAGCAGGGAAGCTGACCTACTGAGAAACACTGGGAAATAATTAGGCTAAATTATGAATCAAACTTAATTTGGGAACAAAGCACCCCTTGTGCATAACTCCCCACAATATCCAGGAGGATGTCACTGTTTCTCCCCAGACACTCTAAAAGCAGCAATGTCCCAGGGTGCAGGGTGTATAGGCCCAAGAATGAGGGGAAGCGTTCACCGGCTTCCTTTTCTCTCCCTATCTGTAGGCACTTAGTGCAGAGTTTGCCCCGAGACCACAGGGTATGAGCTTTTGGAATTTGTGGACTTGGTGCCCTCTTTCATTTCTGTTTTAGTCTTTGCTGGCATGCTGGGGAAGCATGGTTTGTGCCACGCAGGAATGTCTGTTCACTTGGAAAATGCTTGTGCATGAGTGAGTTGGTGCTAATGCTGCTCTAAACTGTACTAAGTTTCTCACTTGGCTTTGTTTGCTGCTTCCAAGGGGATCAAGGTAATTCTTTCTCTTTGTGTTCCCCAGAACGATGAATAATGGTTTGGGAACATGTAATGGGCGCTGCTCTGGGTCTCCCTACACCCATCCCATGTTCTGAAGCTTAAGGAAATCTGATTTTAGGGAGCACAGTGCCAGCAAGAATCAGACTCTTTAGACAGGAGCCCTATTCCTCCTTATAAAATTCTGCATTGAGTTTGGAGGCTCCAGCCCTCAAAACTGAGAAGAGAAAATCAACCTTTGTGATGATAACAGTACTAGCACTGACCCTAACCCCGAGAGACAGGGCAGAGGAGGAGAATGTGTCCTTCCACCCCTTTTCTTCCTTCTGTGTGGTCAGACTAATCTGGGCTGTTCCGAAGCCTAGCTTGTAAGCCTGTTTCACACCATTTGGTGATCTTCAACCACAGTGCTTCTGAAGAACATTGACACATCCCTATTCAAAAAAGAAAACTGGCCAGTGAATTCAGAAAGTGCAGGCTGTTTCTTCCCATGCATAAGTTTGTCCTTAGCCATAAAAAAAGCCCCTCTAGCTAGTTTTTCCTGGCTCCCAGGAGGAGGGGAAGGGTCTGTGTTCCTAAGTGCCTTAGCCAGGAGAAAGCCCAATGGGGCAGCTGTGAGCTCCAGCCCCAGTACATGAGAACAATCTGTCAGAATCTGCTTTTCCTTGGAGAGAGGAGGACAGCACTGAACAAGCCCTGGCTGAGGGTCCTTTGACGGGGAGAGAAGAGTGAGAAGCCTCAGCTGGCCTCAGCCGGCTCCAGGGAAAGTAGCCTAGAGTCTTTCATCCAATGCTCTGTTCCCTCTGGTTCTCTCTGTTGCAGACCACCTGTTAGCCGAGCAGCTCCCCAGCCTGAGAAACTCCAAAAGAACAATATCACCAAAAAGAAGAAACTAGTTGAGGTGAGAGGAAAAACCATTATGACCACAATCTAACGTTCAAAGACTGCCTGGTGGACTCCTCCACCTGCCTGCCCCACAGATACCATGAAATGAACTCAGGTGGATCCATGAGTTTTCTCTTATTCCCTTCCCTTCTGGATGGCATGGCATCCTCTGTCTCTAGGGCAAGAATGACATCCACTGAGCCACTCTCCTCTTCCCCTAGACCTTCAAAGCTGGCTCCCTTGCCCCAAATCTCCTACCATTTTAGGTACTCAGCATCCCTTTCATGGACAAGAAGGAAGAGAAAGAAGGGGAGAGGAGAGTTGAGGGGAAAAGAGGGAAGAGGAGGAAAAGGAAGGAGAGGGGAAGGGAGGGGACTTACCCCTTCCCATAATGTCATGTGAGCATTTTGCACCTGCCAAGGGCTAGCCTGCATACTTTTCAGGAAGCATTGTGCCTGGGAGGTGGGCAGTACTGCTGCTCCCATTTGCAAGCGAAGACTGTGGGGTGGGAAGATGAAGCATGTATTAGGCCCATGGGCATGGTTTCTAGATCAGGGAAGATCTGAACTCAGTCTTAAGACTTCACTTCTGGTTTAGTCCAGTAAACCTGCCATTTTCACAGACCTGACCCCATTCCCAGAGTTTACTCTTCAAACTACAAATCTTCTATGTCTCCTGCCAGTTTTTAAAACCCAGTAGATTCCCACATGAACTTGAATCCCATTGAGATGGAGTCCCATTGGGATTCAGGTTAATGATTATAAACCTTACCTGAGCTACTTTCTAATCTCATTGCTTGCACTTCTCCATTACAACCCCAACTCCAAATTCACCACTTAATGTCCTCTGAGTTTGCTTGAAACTTTCAAGTCTCCATGATTTAGTTCCTTCTGCTTAAAAGGCCATTCTCTGCTCTGGTTGCCATACTTCACAGGCCTTCTCTGGATCATCTTTCCTAACCCCCCTTCTCTCCTCTCTCTCTCTCTCTCTCTCTCTCTCTCACACACACACACACTCTCTCTCTCTCTCTCTCTCTCACACACACACACCTCACTCTACCACCTCTTTTACTTACCTGTCTCCCTTACTAGACTGATACCAGAAAAATCTAGCATTAATTTCTTTTTTTTTTAATCAGAAAGGGAAATGTGCAGTGAGGATGATTTCTCATGGAACATAGCACAGATCAGGAAATGCATCTAAGTATCAGAAAGGAGGATCCAGGAGCTAAAAGTTATCATAAGCCAAGGTAGCACCTCTCTTCTGCTCAGCAGGGCCCTGTGTTTGCCTGGTAATTCTTCCTTTTCTCTAAGACTTCTTAGAATGCTGTGCATGCACATACTCCCCTCCAATCCCCAGCACTTCAGTTTCCATCTACCCATCTAATTAACTAGCTGAGCCTACTAGTTCCCTTGTTCTAAATTCCTGGGAGACTATCTGATTGGCCCAGTTTAGGTCACTTGTCCTCTGTGTCTAGGAGCAGAGTCACGTAGTAAATACAGTTTCTAGGAAACACATTGGGAAGAGTGTGTACAGACTTGTTGAGTTGAAATGAGAAGGGCTTTCTAAACAAGAGGTACTTAAAAAAGCAAACACAGAAAGTGAGGAAAGCCTATGATATATGGGCTGAATAGACAAGTCAGTTTACCCAAAGTTTGAGCTTCATCTCAAAGACAGTGAAAGACAGGAAATGCTTTTGAGTAAAGGGGAATCATGGTGTCTTGGAAGAATCAGTCTGCTGTTTGCAGTTGGCAGGCTATGGACAGAATAAAAGCCAGCATCAGAGAAAGTAGAGAGCCGGGCCTGGCATCTTGTTCATTTTGTATCACCTGCCAGCACAGGGCCAAGTGCAGAGTTGCTGCCTAGGACATGTCTGTTGAATGGAATTGAGAGCCGAAGTGAATCAACTCCTGCTCTTTGTCATCAAGGGTGAGTCAGGAAAAACAGAAAGACTGTCAACCCAGAACAGGATTTAGTTGGTGAAGAAAAAAATTCAAGTGCGCAAAAACTTTGTAGAGTGAACACCAACCAACAGAGCAAGCATGACACTTGCCCCAGATCCAGCCCTGCCAGTCAGGGCCTGGTGTATGGTTGTTTGCCAGAGAAAGTCTCTGAGCCACCACTGAGCCAATCTAAGGTGCACCTGCAGCAGCACAGAGATGAAGTGTCTAGTTTACATTGTTGGGCATCCAACCTAGAGATTATCTCACCTACGGGAGTCTGGCTTATTTAGGACAGTCGTTCTGCCTTCCAGGGAACAAAAATAAGGCTGTGTTGGGATTTGGGTGTTTTTTTATTTTCCTCCTGCAAGTCAAGAAGCCTTTAGTGTACGGCAGCTGCCTTCCTAGCCACAGTGTTCCTGTGCCATTGGTGGCTGCTCACACAGTGTGGGTTTGTCCTTCTGCTCTTCCTTCCTCTAAGGGTGGCTTTCCTCTGTGTGTGCCCATGTAGGAGCTGGCTCTCGACCACGTGTTTGGCTATAGAGGATTTGACTGTCGCAACAACCTGCACTACCTTAATGATGGCGCTGACATCATCTTCCACACAGCAGCGGCTGGCATCGTCCAGAACCTCTCCACAGGTAGCTGGCCACAAGCAAGCTTTGCAAACCTTTAGTTATCACACATCCATCTTTACCCACCCATTCACTTTGCTTTGAAGCATTTGATCTTTGCTTCATCTCTCAGAACAAACCTTTTGTTGTGCAAACCTTTTCTGTTTCTTTCCTGTTTTGCGTCATGGTTGTATGGCTTTGGATGGCGTTATCACTGGCATGCACTGATGTGTGTCCGCTTGATGAGGAAGACATTGAGATTTTTCTCTACATTTTCCCCAATTTTCTAGTTGCACAGCGCCATTTTAGTAGCAACGTGCTGCTTCCTTGGATAGCATCACCTGTGTTTGCTCCTCTGTTCTTGGGCCTTTGAGCGGATTTAAAGTGGCCAGTTGTGACTCAAGTGGTACAGTACCACCCTTGAATGAAGAAGCTAAGAGATGGCACCCAGGCCCTGAGTTCAGGCCCTACCAGCATATGCACACAAAAGCTGTTGAAGTGGCCACTTAGAAAGTGAGCAAGCCCATTTGCTGCACTAGAAATAAAAAGTAGTTTTTGTTCTTCCTTCAACTTCCTGTGGCATATGTCAACCTAGGGCTTTGGGAGTAAAGCCGTGACCTGTACCATTCAGGCACCCCAATGAATTGGAACTTGGCAGGTTAAAGGGGACTCCTCTTTATGAAGAGCAAGGAGTTCCATTTTGCTCAATGAAGCATTATCTCCAGGCCTGGGCCCCGCCCAGAGGTAGACTCCAAGAAGTCATCAGTCCTGTGCTGTGTGGAGAAAGAGATCTTAAACATGGATGTTTTTCTATCTTTGCACTTGGACAATGCAGCAGACCCACAGTGGGAAGATTGGGGGTGGAGCTTGGGTATGGGAGATAAAGAACATCATCTCTTCTCTTGGATCTAGAACAGAATATATGAATCTTAAAAAGTTGCCCACATTCCTGAGGACAACTCTGAAAGTGAGAATTAGGAACCGTCAGCTCCAACTTCTCTAAGGAATGTGTAGCCTTTTGCACGAAGCTTGGGGTTTTCCTGAAGTGTCTTTGAACTCTGCCATTCACCTTTCCTGTGGTCTCTCTCCCAGGCAGCCAGAGCTTCTACCTGGAGCACACAGATGACATCCTCTGCCTCACCGTGAACCAGCACCCCAAGTACAGAAATGTGGTAGCCACCAGCCAGATAGGTAGGGGACCTCCCATTGGCTGAGGCCCTCCATGCTGAGCAGCAACACTGATTTATTAGCAAATCCTGGGAGAGGAAATGGGTCACTGACATTCACCCTTGTTTATTGGTGTTGCTTTGATTCCTTGAGCTTTAAATGTACCTGTGTCATTTAAGTTAGTGCCTACAGTGATGGGTGCTTCTGAGGGACCACAGAGGTAGACCAAAGCTTCACACTCCAAGTAGATGCATGTCCTCATTCCTGTGGACTTGTGAGAGTAATTTTCCAGCCCACCTATCAAAGCGCCCCTGGTCTCCAAGCCTGATGACTTAGACCTTAGGATGTGCGTCCGGCCCTTCTGTACCCTAGGAAACTGCCAGCAACAAATGTGAACCCACTCACATTTGTGAGAAGTTCGTTTGCTTATTTGTTTTTACTTGATCATTTCCAGGCAGTTTGTTCCAAAGTATCTTCCTGCTTGTTTTCATTGGCCCCCATGTCCATTTTTTTATATTTGCTTTGGAGCTTTCTGATGCTGGTGTTGAGTGCTTTGCTCTTAAAAGACGTGACTTACTGTAGCTATTGTTTTCCCTTGCTGCTTCCTCATTGCCATTGCCCACTCAATGCAGGTGATAGCGCGGAAACCCCAGGTAAGGCTGCTCCATCTGTGAGTAGTTCCCATCTGCACAGCAAACTCATGTCAGTGTATCATGCTTGCTGATTGTATCCGCCTGCGAAATTGCTGATACAAATCATGGACCTCACCAGTTTCCCGGTAGAGAACCTTTCCTAACTGTGTGCGTGCGACAGAAGCAGTAGAGACGCCTCTGCCACGAACACCAAGTTGCCCAGAGTCTTTGTCTGGCCAGGTCACATTAGAAGTCTCTTATGCCCAGTAACTGTCACACACCCTGAATCCTCGTCCAAGGGAGGGCTTTTAAAGCTGCACAAACATCGCCTCACTCCACCGACTTTGTCATGCCTCCCGCACTCAGGAACAACGCCTTCCATACACATCTGGGACGCCATGACCAAACACACCCTCTCCATGCTGCGGTGCTTCCACTCCAAGGGGGTGAATTACGTCAACTTCAGTGCGACTGGGAAGCTCCTGGTGTCGGTGGGAGTGGACCCCGAGCATACCATCACTGTCTGGAGGTGGCAGGAAGGTAAAACGTTAGGCTTTGTGTTTGTTACCTCCGGGGCAGGGGGGAATGTCTGTGTTGTAGGCTGGGATGGAACCTAGGCCTGTCCCATTCAAAGCCCACCACGGGTCTTACTGCCTGGCCAGCGGCAGATAACTTCCCTGGAAATTCTGGAGAAACTTCCAATGCCCCTGCATCCCTCAGTTCTCAGCCAGGACAGCGTTGGCCAAGAACCTCGGAAGGGTTGAGTACTTAGGGAAAGTACTGATGTGGGTAGCCCTCTGCAGAGACGCATTGTCCATCTTTACCAACATCCTGCCTGAACTTCCTGGTGGTCTCTAGAACCTGTCCCCTTTCACTTTGAACCACCACTACCTTCTCAAGAGCAGATTGAAAGTTTTGCAATATTTGTGTGTTTTAACTTTTTTGAGATAGCCAAAATTTGTATTCAATGGATTTCTTTCTTATCCTCCCCTCAAACACACACATAAAATGAACACCCGTGCTCACATACACGCACGCATATGTGCATGCACACATGCACACACACACACACACACACACACACATTCATACGTGTATATCAGCTGTCATTAAGTTTATCGCCATTTTCCAAGTAAAGATGTTCAATTTTCTGAGTATATCCTCAGGTCAGGTGCTGCTTTAGCAAAAGCAAATCCAATTAGTGAGGACATTAATGAGGTCTGTGTCTGTGTGCAGCTGGTATCTGGGACACACTGAGCAGGCAAGTGGGGGGTGGGGAGGGACACTTCTCCAATCCAGGCTCTGGAGTCCCACTGTCTCCTCATCTTCCCATGAAGGGCAGGGAAGAGGGGCTGTAGAAGATGGGCACATTAGAAAGCAAGTTCTGATCTTTCCTGGGCCCCAGTTAAGGGGAACGGACCAATGTTAAGGAGTAGACTCATTTATCACATCCCACCAGGAGGAAGCTAGGCCCCCAGAAGTTCTAGGAAGCCACAGTTCATTTTTAGTTTTTTTTTTCTACTCACAAGCACATTGTGCTGAGCAATCCCATAGTGCATCTCGACGGGATGCAGGTCGGCTCCTGTGCTGTCAGGTGGCCAGTTGATGGGCTACTCTCAGCCTGATGAAAAGAGAGTATCTTAGCTTATGAGTCAGAGCATCTCAGAGTTAGAAAGTGTGGAGACAGCATCTATCCCATAGAAAAACTGGCCCAAGTGCCTTCCTGACAGTATGGAAGGTACCCATGGACACTTCCAAGGACACTTCACGAGGAGCCACTCACTGTGGGGAAGCTCTTTCTTATGAAGCCCTCTCAAACCCTGGGAAGAAAGCGGCCCTATGGCCTTCCGTACATGCTTGTCTTTGAAAGTTCAAGTTGTTCAAGTTCCCTGCCCTTAGGACCTCCACATGTTCCTCTGGGGACACCTGCTCTGGTGCTGGCCCAGACTCTTGCTCATCTGGACCCCTTTCTCATCTCCCAAGTGAGGAGTGGGGGAGCCTTCCAACAAGCTTCCAACAAGAGTAAAGAAGCCTACTCTGTGGTGCTTTCTCTCCTTGTCTCAAAGGGAACTAGTCTGTACAGAAGGGCTCTGTGCCACAGGTACCATGGAATAGCCTGCCACTCACCACACCTCTTCCCAGTTCTCAGGGCATGGTGTCTCTTCTCTCTTTCTTCTCTCATATGTGTCTCCCTTCACTTCAAGTTCTGCTTTCAGATAAATAACGTGTTTAGAGTCATTTATATACATTCTTGTTATCACTACAGAACAGACCTTATTTGTTAAAGGATCATTTACTATATATGTCATTGGCTCTGAGCAGACTGGAAGCTAATGTAAACAGAGACTCAGGTGTCTCCACAAGTTAAAGTATTCATGAGATTACAAAGAAAAAAACACATGAATTAGAAAAAAATATGTATCTACTTGTTATTTTGCTTTTCCCTAGCGCTAGTAAAATGGACCCCCTTTGCATCTCTTTATTGGCCACTGATTTTGCTTTTGTAATTCACCTGTTCAAATCCTTTTTTCTATTGAAGGTGAGAAGGCTGATTGTATCTTTCTTCCTTCCTTCCTTCCTTCCTTTCTTTCTTTCTTTTCTTTTTTTGTTTTAGGGCTTGAACTCTGGTCCTGGGTCCCTCAGCTCTTCAGCTCAGGGCTGGTACTTTACCACTTGAGCCACAGCACCACTTCTGGCTTTTTTTTCCTGTTTATGTGAGACTGAGAAATCAAAACCAGGGCCTCATGCATGCAAGGCAAGCACTCTACCACTGAGCCACCTTCCAGCCCCTGTATTTTACTTTCAACTTATTCTTTATAAACTTTAATCCTTAGACTTGTATAAGAGATGTAAATACATTCTCCTTACCTACTGTTTGTCTTTTAATTTTGTTTGTGGTATCCTTAGAGACCATTGGTTTTAAAAACCTTTGAGCTGTAACAGATAGCTCACTACCTACGGCTGTCCAGCTGCTGAGAATTATAGCCAGGAGAGAATGATGGTCTCCCCAGCCACCCCTGAAAAGGATTACTTTTTTCTGACAGGCAGCTACAGGCCTCGCTTTATTAACAAACCCACCAGGCTTACTCTATTAGCAAGCTATTGTGAAAACAACTACAGCAATGAAAAGAAAAAGATTTGGATAAATAATAAAGGGAAGGAAGACCAGGACATTGAAACTAAACCATTGATACTGTATGAAACAAAACTTGAAAGAAAAAGTAATAAAAGTTTAAAGTAAAAATTAAGGTCTTGGAATTAACTGAAGTATAAGAGACTCTGTAGAGAGCTCAAATAGTATAATCTCTTGGAAGGATTAGGTCAAAGCCCAAGAAAATCAACATCAGGAAATGGATACATCCAAGATAGGAGTCAGGGCCAAGGAGAGAGAGGCAGATGAAAGGGTAAATGAAGAAAATTAAGAAAAGTAAGGGAAGGGGTGGGTCAGAGGGGGGTGAGAATGTTGAAAGGGTGCTACTGATTAAGCTATATTGGCCAGGCGCCAGTGGCTCACACCTGTAATCCTAGCTACTCAGGAGGCTGAGATCTGAGGAGTGTGGTTCAAAGCCAGCCCGGGCAGGAAAGTCCATGAGACTCTTATCTCCAGTTAACCACCAGAAACCCAGAAGTGGCTCAAGTGTTAGAGCACTAGCCTTGAGCTGAAGAGTTCAGGGACCGTGCTCAGGCCCATGACCAACAAAAGAAAAAAAGATATATTGTATTCATAAACCATGACACTACCTTTGTATAACTGTTTAAAGATAATTTTTAAAATAATTTAAAAATAAAGAAGATTAATTATTTTTTAAAGGCTTTAAAATAGCAGCATAAAAAAAGCAGCCAGGCACTGGTGGCTCACAACTGTAATCCTAGTCACTCAGGAGACTGAGATCTGAGGATCACAGTTTGAAGCCAGCCTGAGCAAGAACGTCTCTGAGACTCTTATGTCTAATTAACCACCAGAAAACTGGAAGTGATGCTTTGGCTCAAACTGGTAGAGCTCTAGCCTTCAGCAAAAAAGAGCTCATGGACAGTGCCCAGGCCCCAAGTTCAAGCCCCATGACCAACACATACACACAACATGCACACAAAGAGAGACAGGTTCAGAATATAAGCAAAATGAAAATAGAAATCAAGAGGTTTTAGAAAGAGCTAAAGAATGACAGTGTATATTAACACTTGCAGAAAAGTGGTTTTCAAAACTTGTTCCAAAAATCTCATCATCTCTTCATCTCACACCTACTTACAAAATAGGAATTCATATGCTTCCCAATCCAGGTAAGGGAAATGAAACACACAGGAGTTAACCAACTGGACCAAAGATGTTCTGTAAGTAAATAGCAGAGTTAAGACAGAGGTTAAAAAACTCAGGAGACCTTCAACAATGTATATGAAAAACTGCTAGTAATTAAAAATAAGAGGCAAACGTTTTAACTCTAAAACCTACAAAATAAAAAGGAATGTGGTGTATGGTGATTTTTCTTTCTTTTTAGAAAATAAGTACAGAGACACTTGGGAAGAAGTAAGAAAATGAAAGGTGTCACGGGTGGGGGGTGTGGGTTGGCCTTCTGACGCTGGCTGGGAGATGAATGTGTACATCGCAGTCATTGTGTCTCCTCCTCAGATCCAGAAAGGGCCAGCCTTTCGTGACCCTGGGTAGGGTTTTATTGTCAGCACCGGCCCTTGTGGAAACACTTGGAGTAGGGTCTGGGGGACAGGATGTTGTGCGTGATACATTCAAGGGGACGGAGGGCAGCTTGGAAGGTAGCTTTCTGCCCTGGCTCAGGCAGCTGTGGGGAGCGCCAACCTCACGGGATGCTGTCACCCTCACAGGTGCCAAGGTTGCCAGCCGAGGGGGTCACCTGGAACGCATATTTGTGGTAGAATTCCGCCCAGACTCAGACACCCAATTTGTATCCGTGGGGGTGAAACACATGAAGTTCTGGACCCTGGCAGGCAGTGCCCTGCTTTACAAGAAAGGAGTTATCGGCTCCATGGAGGCTGCCAAGATGCAGACGATGCTGTCCGTGGCCTTTGGTGCTGTGAGTTCCAGCAGATACTTCCTCCAGGGAACCCCTGGACCCCACGCATGGGTGGGCAGGAAGGAGCTCGACCACGAAGCTGAAAACCCAGGGGAAAGCCATTTCACCCCCTCTCCACTACTGCATGCTTAGCAATGGCATTCCCTTTCTGCACTACATTTCTCCCTGCCTCTCAGTGATTCCAGAGGCCCACCTGGGCCCGCAAGCCTCCCGCGGCCTTAGGCTAAGCAACCCCTGAACACACTGGGAACAAATGCTACCATGAGGACCTCGGTGGTTGTCCTCTGAAGCTTTCTTGTTCCATAAATCCACCCCCTGCTGGTTACCACCCTTTGGCCAGCCAAAGCCTTCTTGGGAACATTCAGAGCACAGTCAGCTCTTGGTCCTCCTGGGATGGATTTATTGACTTCTTAGCTGAGCTCCAGGAAAGTTTCCTCAGGCCAGAGCCACCCAGTGCCTGGCTGTCTCCCAAGACTCTTTCTGATAAAGAGCTGCTGTGCATGGGGAAGTAAATTGCCCAGACCAACTAGGCCAAGAGTGAATGTCAGCCAGGTGATCCATCTCTCGCCCTGTTCATGATTTCTCTGTGAATTCGGCTGCTGGCTTAATGCACAGATGAAATGGACTATGTAGTCCAGTACTGAAGATGCCCCTTTGTTTGCAGAACAACCTCACTTTCACGGGTGCCATCAATGGAGATGTGTACGTGTGGAAGGACCACTTCCTCATCCGGCTGGTTGCCAAGGCTCACACAGGCCCCGTGTTCACAATGTACACCACCCTCCGGGATGGCCTCATCGTGACTGGTGGCAAGGAGCGGCCGTAAGTGAAAGCCCCCCTGCCAACAACTCATCTTCTGTCCTAGGCTTGGGAGACACAAACAGACATACCCTGACCCAGGGAGATGAGGCCTGCCTTCTCCTCTTTTTCTGTGTTAGCAGTTCAGCCTGCTGTCTCTTTAGGAGGACCAAAAACATCCCAAGAAAGAGGCAGGCACAGATGGAGACCAGGGGCTGCTATAGTTTAAAAAATCCATGAAAGCTATTCTTTAATAAACCAGAGTGATTTTGCTGTTCTAAATGCTACCCTTAGTAGCTCTTTGGGGGAAAGAAAGAAGGAAAAGGAAACAGAAATTCAGTGGGAGAAGACAGTAACACATGAAGACCGAGGTATTCTGATAGTAACCTAATGAAAACAGATTGGACTGTTGACTTTACAGAGCCTACTTTCTTTCTTCCAAAGATCGTGGCATTTGAAGACCCTTTAGGAAATCTGCAAGGTCAAGGTGGTGACAGTGTATTGCCAGGGCCTTTGAAAGAGGCCACCCTGGAGGGTCTATGGACCCAGGTGGCCATGAACATTGGGGACTGGATGAGGGGGAGAGGGAGGGAAAGTCTGAAGACAAAGACACCAGGCTGAGTGCTTCTTTATATTGTCCGCTTGATTGTTTAGGACCAAAGAAGGAGGTGCTGTAAAGCTGTGGGACCAGGAGATGAAGCGCTGCCGGGCCTTCCAGCTGGAGACTGGGCAGCTGGTGGAGTGCGTGCGCTCCGTGTGCCGAGGCAAGGTCAGCGGGCGCTTTTCCCCAAGCTGCTGGGCCTGGGGCCAGGATGGCCAGGGGAGTCTTGCTGAGTCTTTCCTACCTTCTCAGCCCGCCACTTTCCTTATGTTTCAAGCCTCCAAGGTGTGGATTTTACTGTAGTGCAGGGGTAGACAGACAGACCTGGGTCAACTGATTCCCCAGGATGAGCTGGCTGTGGGACCCTCAGCATGTTTTTTGAGCTGTCTGTATCCAGCACCCAAGTCAGGCGTGTTGTTGTGAGAACTGTACACACTATACATGGCAGTACCTTTCCCTTCGCCTGATGGCAGTGGATCAGGAAACGGTAGCTGTTATTATTATTATTTGCTATGTAACCCAGGCCAGTCTCTAATTCATGATCCTCCTGCCTCAACTTTTCAAGTGCTTAGATTACAGGTATGTGGTTCTATACCTGATGAAGCTCATAGATAATATTCGTATAAGCTGAGAGATAATAATTTGCTGTTTAAGGTTATGAAGCCGGTAGGGGGAAAATAAGGGCCACCAAACTGGCTTCAAGACCATTGGTTTTCAACTCTCACTTTGACTGTGTAGCAAAAACAATTGAGCTGCCAACTCAAAATCTCATGAGTATTGCCTCAACCTGTGTTTTCCTCCCCTCCCCTACCACTGGTCCTGGGGCTTGAACTCAGAGCCTGGGCACTATCCCTGAGCTTCATTTTGCTCAAGACTAACACTTTACTACTTGAGCCACAGCACCACTTGCAGCTTTTTTGGTGGTTAATGGGAGATAAGAATCTCACAGACTTTCATAATGTATTTAGCTTCAAACTACGATCCTCATATCTCAGCCTTCTGAGTAGCTAGGATTACAAGCATGAGCCACCAGTGCCCAGCTCTCTTCTTTGCTTTTTAAAAATTCCCCAAAGGGATTTGATGTCCTTGAAAACAAATCTCTTCATCTTCATTTAATACCGTGTTTATTTTTGAATTGGTATCAACCTAAGAATTTACTTTCTAGTTGGTCTCTGTAAGAAAAGCAAGCCTGATTTGGAGTCCACATATTTCAAAATTGTGAATTTAGTTTGAAATAATAAATGTCACTCATCTGGAAGCATGCTTATGAAGATGAAGTACCAGGCCCAGAACCTGGCAATTGCTAGGAAAGAGGTCCAGTTGAATGGAAGGAAGAACTTACTAGGAGTTTGAGCTTTCCAGAAACAGAAGTTCTATAAGGAGCATGAAGTCTCTGTGGAATGTTCTAGCAAGGGCCTGGCTGATGTGGGACTCTATGCTCAAGTTCCTACCATAGGTAGTTGACAGAAAAAAAAAGACAAAGCAAAAATGCCCTCCCTCCCCTTTCTTTTTTTTTTTTTGGTTGGCCGTGGGGCTTGAACTCTGGGCCTGGGCGCTGTCCCTCAGCTCTTCAGCTCAAGGCGAGCGCTCTACCACTTGAGCTACAGCGCCACTTCCGG